GGACCCCGTAGACCCGGACCCCGGATATATACTGACCCCTCTATGTAGCTGCGCTCCGACAGGAAGTCATTGAGCACTTTGAGGCCGGAGGCAGATTTCAGGTCACCGAAGCCCATAACGACGAAGAAGAACCGGCGGGGAGGAAGAAGAAGAAGGAGGAAGGAGGTCGGAGGAGACAGCTTTATACCCGGAGACTAACTGCTCCTCCTCCTCACAGGACGCTCCTCCTCCTCCTCCTCCTTACCGATCACTTGGAGGAGGAAGAAGATACAAAATGTTTCAGAATAAAGGTCATATTACAGACAGGAAGAAGAGGAAATGTTTCAGAATAAAGGTCATATTACAGACAGGAAGAAGATACAAAATGTTTCAGAATAAAGTTTCAGAGAGGATTACAATCATTAATTTGATAAAAGAATAAAATGATTAAAAGTAATAATAAATTAAACCTCCTTTAGGGGTTGCCATTAGTTATATTTGTTTACAATAACTTGTTTATTTATGAACTTATAATGTTGTTTATGTTTGTTCTTCTCTGGGTTTTAAATCAGCCTGCAGACACTCGACCTGCCTCCGGCACAGGAATGCAGTCAGACCCGTCTCACTGTCACATGACCCGCTCTGATTGGACCCACCTGAACACACCTGGGAGACGTTATCCAGGTGAGTCTCAGTCAGTGGCAGAAGAAGACAGTCCATTACAGGATATGGGTCAAGCTCGCAGCTCCACTTCTCCTCAGGTAACTCAATCAATACTAATCAATACTGATCAATACTGATCAGTATTATAGAACAATTACTGAGTTTATAAGATGTAATACCCAACAGTTAATCAATTAGTCCCTTCAGTATCATTGTAGAGTACTTGTACTGCGTTTATTATGGTTTTATTCTTTCATTAATGTCTTCCTTCAGGATTCAGTCAGCAACCAGAACCAGAACCAGAACCAGAGTTTAGTGTGAGAACTGTTCTGGGTCTCCAGCTGTTACACTGACTGATGCTAACAGCATCATTAGCATTAATAATCAGCTTTATGGACAATATCTCAGCAGCTGATTGGCTGATTAGTACGATATAAGAATGTTTCAGAATAAAGTTCATGTTACAGACAGGAAGTAAAGGAAATGTTTCAGAATAAAGCTCATATTACAGACAGGAAGTAAAATGTTTCTCTAAGGGTAATAAACCCGACTGTGGTTCTGGTTCTCAGGGAGGAAATACTTTATATATATTTAATATCCTGGGAATAATGCTGGTTATCAGGAACCTTTAGGCTGTGGTCACATGAATGGAGCCAGAAAACAGAACCAGAATCAGTTCTAATGTATGTTGAGATGTTTTTGTGATGTTGAGGAGTCAGTCTTAATAATAACCAACGCTTTTGAACTTTAACGGGTGTTTGTGCGCTCAGGTGATCCTGATGGGTTTGGACTCGGCTGGAAAGTCGACTCTGTTGGCCAGACTGCTGACAGGACAGGTGAGGCCACTGTGGACAAGTAGATATAAACAGGATGGGACAGAATCAACAGTGTTTGTCTGCAAACTCGTAGGTTATGGAAACGTCACCGACCATCGGATTCAACGTGGGAACTCTGGACTTGGATAAGAAGACGTCTCTGACTGTGTGGGACGTCGGCGGACAGAAGAGCATGAGACCCAACTGGAGGTAAGTAACAAACAGAAATCTGTGTGTACTTTCTTTCACATCCAAACAACTACAGGTGTGATGAGGTCGTGAAGCAGCGTGGGATCATGGGAGTTGTTGTCTTCACCACCATTGTCGTCATTGCAGTCTGCAGTCGGTATCAGTGCCGATCGAGGCATTCTGTTAACTGATTGGTATCAGCTATTATTAATTATCTGATTTATTGATTCAATCTATTTTTATTCCCTCCGACACCAAACAAACATTACGGAGGGTTTGTTATTATTTACTTTTATTATGTAACAAAATAAAATGTAATGCAGAGCTTCAGATAGGACCGGGAATCGGTATCTGCAGATCGGTCAGGACGTCCCTTGTTTATAAACTGTTTAATGATACAGCTCGATCTTCCTCTTCAGGTACTATATTGACGACTGTAAGGCTCTGGTGTTCGTGGTGGACAGCAGCAACCCAACCCGGATTCCAGAGGCCCAGAAGGCCCTAAAGAAGGTCCTGACTGAGGAGAAGTTACGAGGAATTCCTCTGATGGTTCTGGCCAACAAGAAGGACCTGCCGAACTCCATGACCATACGAGAGGTATGAACACACACCGAAAACCATGAGATAACCACAGCCAGCGCTGTAATGTCCCACTAACATGAACTACACACAGTGTGTAGCTGAGCTTAATAGTTCCTGTGTTTGTGTATATGGTACGTTACTACAGCAAACTGTGGAAGCTAACGCTGGAACTAGTTAACAGCACATTCAATTCAATTCATTTCAATTTTATTTGTATAGCGCCAATTCATAACAGAAGTTATCTCAGGACACTTTTGTCTCCTATGTTTTAATAATTTCCTTTATAGAATCTAATGTTGTATGCAGTGAGCCTGCAGCACTATTAACAAGATTATCAAATTACCTATAATTCACCTCTCTTAAAGGGGAAGGGTGGAGGAAGTATTCAGGTCAGTAAAAGTACTAATACCAACCAAAAGGTCACAAGAAAGAAAAGAAGACGCTTCCTCGTTAGGGAACAACGTTTACAGTTGAACTACCACTAGATTTAGCTGTTTACTCCTCTTCTTCTCATCATCTCTCTCCCTCCTCCCTCCTCCTCCTACCTCAGATCTCCAACCAGTTGGATCTGCCCAGTTACACTGACCGGTTGTGGGAGGTTCAGGCTTGCAGTGCTCTGAAGGGACTCGGCCTCCAACAGGCCTTCATGTCTGTCAACAAACTGATCAAGAAGAGCTGAGAGAAGGATGAGGAGGAGAAAGAGCAGGATTAGAACTAAAACATTTATTATTTATGCTGAATAAATATGTAATAATAAATAAATAAAGATGATTAATGAAGCTGAATGAAGCCTGGTTATTGAGTTTAATATGGAGACTCACTGCTGGAGCCTCTAGTGGATGTCAGCGGAACTGCAGCCACAGAGGTTGTTGATTGATTTAAATGTATAACCACTATGATCAATACAAGATACCCCATTAGTATTTTGCTAGCAATAATGTAACCAAGCAACCAAGCTTAGGTTAGCCACATATGGCTAAAGATTTTGCTACTTTACCTAGCTAGCTTGTCCAGGTTAGCAAGAGAGCTAATGTTATCTAACATTATCCAAACCAGTCAACCAGTAAACCAGTCAACAGAACCAGTCAACCAGTAAACAGAACCAGTAAACAGAACCAGTCAACCAGTAAACCAGTAAATGGAATCAGTCAACCAGTAAACAGAACCAGTAAACCAGTGAATAGAACCAGTCAACCAGTAAACAGAAACAGTGTATGATTTATTCTGGTTTTCAAGCTGAAAGTGAGAAAATTTCCCATCTGAACTTTGAAACTTTGAGTCCTGTAACTGTTTTATATATCAGAGATCAATGCAGTCGATTGATGATCAATCACAGTTTGTGTTTAGTTTCTGCCAGCAGTCACTGATCAATAGTGTTGATTGATTGGTGGTCAGTTGATCAGTTGATCGTCTCTATATCTTCTTCCTGTTTGCATGTTCGTCTGGAATGAACTTGTGCAGCCTCCTCAGGGAGAACCAGGACTGGACCAGTAGCAGGACCGGGACCAGGACCCAGACCCCGTTAAAGAAGACCAGGTAGACCCACAGGTAAAGCCAGCTGGATGTGTTCAAGTGAGGACTGCCGACCAGCCAATCAGGACAGAAGGTCATCCAGCCACCGTACAGCTCGCACACGCTCAGAGCAACCTGCAGGAAGTGTCTGTAAGTACACAGGAAATACAGTGCTCATTACAGTACTACAATACTACAATACTACACAGTACTAAGTACTACAATACTACAATACTACAGTACTACAGTACTAGAATACTACAGTACGCAGTACTCAGTACTACAGTACTACAATACTACATTACTACAGTACTACAGTACTACAATACTACAATACTACAGTACTACAGTACTACAATACTACAGTACTACAGTACTACAGTACTACAATACTACAGTACTACACAGTACTAAAGTACTGCAATACTACAATACTACAGTACTACATTACTACAAAGTACTAAGTAACTGCAATACTACAATACTACAGTACTACTTACTTCACACAGTATAAGTACTGCAATACTACAAATCTACAGTACTACATTACTACACAGTACTGAATACTGCAATACTACAATACTACAGTACTTATAATACGTCAGTATCAGGTACTACAATACTACAATAACTACACAGTACTAATACTACATGCACAGTACTAAGTAATACTACAATATACAATATTACAGTGCTCAAGTACAGTAATCTCAATTCAATTCATTTCAATTCAATTTTTATTGTATAGTGCCAAGAATTATCTCAGGACACTTTTCAATAGAGCAGGTCCTAGACCGAACTCCTTTTAACATTTACAGAAGACCACCACAGTACCACCATGAGCAAGATTGGAGACGGGGGCAAAGGAAAACTGCCTTTTAACGGCAGAAACCTAGGACAGACCTTCGCTCTAGTGGGTGGTCATCTGCCTTTGACCAGGTTGGGGGGACAGAAGAGACAGAGAGATGTACCAGCAACAACAGTACAAAACTACATTAATAGTAGTGACCGATGACGATGACAGCAGCAAACGATGGGGACAATGAGCAGCGACAACAGTAATGTAGCAATAATAATCTAATTATAATAATAAATAATAACAACAATAATATTCAGTGTTTTTAGCAATGGTAGTCAGCAGGACCATGGCAGGGAGGCATCCACCAAGGATCCATGAGAACCTGTGAGACAAGAAAGCAACAAGAACTCGGGGGAAAGAAGTGAAGTTAGTAACATTAACTTAATGGGACA